ATGGGATTGTTCCATCCTAAGTGCAGAACTTTGCATTTGTCTTTATTGAACCTCATGAGATTTCTTTGGTCCAATCCTCCAATTTGTTGGGGTCTCTCTGAATTCTAGGCCTACCCACCAGTATATGTACTACTCTCCCTAGCTTGGTGTCACCTTCAAACTTGCTGAGGGTGTGCTCCATGCCAACTTCCAGGTTACTGATGTAGATACTGAACAAAACTTGCCTCAGTACCAACCCCTGGGGCATTCCACTTGATACCAGCTGCCAACTAGACATCAAGATATTGACTACTACCCTCTGAGCTCATGTTCCAGCCAGTTTTCTATGCACCTTACAGACCATTCATCCAATCTGTACTTTTTTAGTTTGCTTGCGAGAATTTTGTGGGAGACTGTAACAAAAGCCTTGCTAAAAAGTCAAGGTATATCATGTCCGCTGCTCTTCCCATATCCACAGAACCAATCATCTCATCATAGAAGGCAAGCAGATTGGTCAGGCATGACTTGTCCTTGGTGAATCCCTGCCGACTGTTCCTAATCATCTTCTCTCCCACCTTCAAGTGCTTAAAATGTTTCTTTAAGGACCTGCTCCATGATTTTTCCAGGGACTGAGGTGAAGCTGACTGGTCTATAGTTTCCTGGATCCTCCTTCTTCCCTTTCTTAACGATGGGCACTATATTTTCCCTTTTCAAGGGACCTCTCCCAATGGCCACAAGTTTTCAAAGATGACAACCAGTGGCTCTGCAATCACATCAGCCAACTCCTGTAGCACCCGTGGATGCATCATCCTCCCACCCGACCCCCCTCACACTGGGGGGCTTTGGTGCCTATCACTTTCATTGTGCTATTGCAAGAAGCAGCAGCAGCAATGGCTGGGTCCTACTGTCTGCCTTTGACCTCAAACCGGAAATTCTGGCCCATAGCCTGAAAAGGCTGCCAACTGCTGATCTGGAGAAATCTGAGAAACAGCTGTGGACCAAGAAACTGTTCCGGACCAAGGTGTGCCAAATGAAACTTGGGAGAAAAAACTAATGATGCACTCCCGTAACTTTATGAAGATAATAAATAGACTATCTGACTCTTAAGAAGTTAGGGATGTAAGGGTAGATAGAAGTTAACCAGACAGAATCAGAGAACCTGACAACTTAAAAGCATTCTGAAGATCATTTTTCTTTCCTTTCTTATTTAATACGGAATTTAGTCCCTCTCTGGATCTTATGTTTGTTGTGGGATATATGTGAGTATCCTGCAACAAATGGTAACATGCTAGATAACTTTTTCTCCAGAGATAAAAATGGTTGATCTGCCACAAAATAGCATATCCAGGACAAAAGTTGCTGGGACAAATCCAAGAGAGGTGGTGCAGGCTCCTACCCTGGGGGTTTTTAAGAGGAGATTAGATGAACACCTTGCTGGGGTCATTTGACCCCAGTACTCTTTCCCGCCATGGCAGGGGGTCGGACTAGATGAATTGCTCAGGTCCCTTGCGACCCTAGAAACTATGAAACTATGAAATTTAATGTCTGGTCAGGTCTTAGGCTCTCTTGCCACTATCCCACAGTAGCCTTCTCTCTCTCCAAGGAGGAGGGAAGGAGGGCAGGAAGCCTGCAGCCTGCCCTGTTCCTCTTGTAGCCTTAACTTAAATAAAATCTTCATTCTGTCTCTGGCCACTTCAGATCTGGTAGATGGTCCAGAACAGCATAGAGGGGCTTGAAAAATCCAGATCAGGCCACTAGAGGTAGTCTTGAGAACAGAAAGAGCCAGGTCCCTTGACAAGAACTATGGAAGCTTTCTTTAGAAAGCCTCCTTGCAAAGTCTGCAAACCTCCTTGCAAAGGTGTTATATGAAGGGCAGGGCTGCAACACAAAGCTTCACTCAGACTTGAGTAGCACTGCAGCTTGTGGAGATGAGGAGACAGAGAGAGGCACTTTGGACTGTCCCTGCTACACAAGGGACTGCCAAGCAGCTCAAGATTTCCCAGTAAAGGTGGCTGAAAGCCAGTAGAGGATCTCCATGTTCTAGGCTGGTTCTTTTCCAATTCTCTCCATTACCCATTTGGGGTCACAAAACTCCAGAGATATTTCAGTTGAATGTATCCTTGACTGGCCCAAGATTAGTAGATAAACTGGTTCTTGTTTTTCTTGAAGACTAGGACATTTCTGCCTCTCATTTAGAGAGATTACTGTCTCCTGTGTCTTTCGTTGGTTGGGTCCGCTCTCTCACTGTCAAATTACAGAATTACCACTCTCTTTCTTTGTATATGGAAGAGGGTTTATGGTTTCAAAAAAACAGACCCCAGTCTGCTGGTTGTACAGCATGTGAAGGCACCAGCTCCCCACTTTTCATGGAAAGGAGGAATATATTTAGTGCTAAGTTGATTATAGGAAAATGCGGATCCTTCAAATATTGGTAAAATTCTAAATTCAGCCATGAATTCAACAGTCCGATATTACATATACTTAGGGTTACCATACTTCTGGGTTTTCCCAGGCATGTCTTCTTTTTGAGCCCTCTAATCTCCATCCAGGCAGGTTTTTTTAATTCTGATAAAATGTCTGGGTTTTTCCTTTGCTCTGCTGGTGGGAGCAGAGGGAGGGCAATCAGAGGCAGCAGGGAGCACAGACATACTTGCCTACAACTCCAGAGGCACGTGCAGACCCACATGGTGCTCCCTTCTGCCTCCCATCACCCTTCCCCTGCTCCCATCCCCAGGGCAAAGTCTAAACCCAGATATATGATCGAGGCATGGGGGGGAGGGGAAAGTGGCGAGGAGAGGGAGCAGGGGCTGGGGCTGCACCAGGGCAGGAGGGGTGGGGTTGCCTGTTCTCCAGCAGGGGCAAGAGGTGGAGGGGCCTTTAAAGGCAGCAGGGAAACCTGTGGCCAGGCCAGCAGCACAGGGGCTGGTGCCTGTGCTTGCAGGGGCTGAGCGGCCAGGAGATTCTGGGATGGCAGAGGGAAGGGGACTGGGGCCAAGCTGCTTGGCATGGCACAGCAGCTCTGTCCGAGGGCAGGGGGCACCACAAGCCTCCCCTCCTCTTCCCTCCAGCCCACACTGGGGCCAGATACAGTCTGCCGCTGCCTGCATGGATCAGAACCACCATGCTCTGGCCTGGTCAGGACCCTCTGGCAGAGCTGGGGGAGCAGGGAACTGTGGGTCAGAGAAGTGAGGGGCACTGACAGGGCTGGGGAGGGCTGTGGCTTGGGAATGTGGGGCACCAGGGTGGAAGCAGGGGACTGTGGGTTGGAAGTGTGGGTCAATGGCAGTGCCAGGGGGTTGTGGGTCTGGAGTGAGGGGCACCATCATGACCCAGGGGGGCAGGGTACTGCGGTTTGGCAGTGAGGGACAGTGACAGTGCTGGGATCAGTAGGTTGGGAGTGAGGGGCAGCAGCAGGACTGGTAGGGGCTGTGGCTTGCCAGTGAAGGGCAACAGAATGGGCAGGGGCAGAGCACTGGCATGCCACTACCCCCCACCGTCATATTCCCCCTGCCCCCACGTGACAGGTGTCCTCTTTTTTGGACCTGGAAATATGGTAACCCTACATATACTTTTCCCACCATTATCATGCAATGAACTTCTCCTCAAAAACATGTATGTAGAACAAAATGCTGGGTCTTAAATTTGTAAGAATAGAAGAGAATGAAGGAACCAAAGATAATGTTCCATCAGTCACATTTCACATTGTTCTCCTTGTTTAGGGCTCAATCTATGATCTTTATAATCACGATCAATCCAAATCAATTTTCAGTTTTGTATTTGTGCAGTTCTAAATTCAGCATTCTTTTAGATTGAGCGAGGCTGTGACAACAGCATCAGCTTTCACTGTTAAACCATTTTAGAAACTCCTTCAATTGTTTTTCTATAAGTTTAGTGTCTTTAGTTAAGCCTATCATTGTAAAAGAACAAATAGCCCTAAACTTATTTTCACAGTAAGGTGCTGGTTAACCCAGGACTCTACACCCAGCGATAGCTTCCCTTAATACTGCTGCCATTACTCCACTCACCGAAAATTACACCTAAGCCTCCATTCTCAGAAATGGTTGTCACATTACTGCTCCAGATGATAGCATATGGGAGAAGATAGAAATACTTTGCAAAATAAACTTGTTTACAGTTACTCACTCTTGGAGACTTATAAAAGCTCCAAGGAACAAATAGCATTAGGCTGCATTAATTTTTTGGTTTGCATGTTAAATGCAATGTTATTTTTGTTTGGCCTATATGGATATATAATTAGAAATAAAATAGTACGCAATATTTACAATTGAATTCTCATATTTTGTAAAGTAATGCAAAGTTCAGAAATTTCAATCATTTTCTATAAATGATTCTGGTCTCAACCAAATGCAATAACTGAAATGCATAGTTATCACATGCATGCAATTATCAAAAAGTATAAAGAAGTACAAGAAGGTAGTTTTGAGGTCATACCACTGTTAAAGATTCCATCAAAGGCAAGAAAGAGTGGCACCTTATAGACTACCTTGCTCAAAGGATTAACAAATCAACTAATTCTCTGAATTAGAATCAACTAAACAAGTAATTCTCTGAATTAGTCTATAAGGCCTCTGGCATTTAAGATGCAACTAACCAGTTAATCAGGTCTTAAGTAGCAACCCGGGGAAAGGTTCATGCAATTAATGGTGCAATAAAACGGAACAAACCACGAAGTTATTACACAAAATATGTGTAACAACTTTGTGGCTGGTTCCCATTGCACCTTTAACTGAATGTCTGCCAGGGGTCAAAGGTGGCACTCTGCCCTGCTTTCAGCATGATTTTAGACTAACACTGTAAGCTATTAACATAAGAAGTGTTATAGTGGGTCAAGACCAATGGTACATCTAGCCCAGTATCCTGTTTCCAACAGTGGCAGAAGTGGATGCTAGACAGGGAGGACATTGATCCAGAAAACTCAAGAGTGAAACTACCTCTCTCTGCTCAGAGATTCTAGAGTTGAACTTATTCTTTACAAACTAACATACTAGATATTTTCTTACCAATGAAACCCAGCTGAGAAAATTCTAGAATCATCCAATCTTCAGAAGCAAGCTGAAGTGCAAAATTTTTTATTGTGCTGAAATAATTTTGCTTGACAACAATGTCATCTTCAAGCTATGGGAAAGAAACACTTGTATTACTACAAAGCAAGAACAGCAAAGCAAAAAGAAATATATACATATCTATAAATATCTATATATCTATATATATATATGCAAAAGTTTATATTTCTATCGTTCATCTATTCATAGGTGTTAAGTGGAATCACCACCATTATACATATTTGGGGTTAACAGGAATTAATATTGCAGAAGGATTATCATGTTCTACTTACTTGAGGAAAATTAATCTAAAACTTTTTACAATAAAACTTCAGGAATATTCCAACCATTCTGAAACAAAAAAAGGGAAGAAAAACCAGACCAGGAGGAAAAGCAAACCAGCTTTTCTTAAACTTCTTTTATAAATGTATACCATATTTTTTCAAATTCAAGACAACCCCCAAGTAATTAGATACTATGGATGAAAATGTTACACATTTTTTTATACTTTCCAATACACAGAATATAATTTTTGGAGGATCATCTTGAATTCATCCCCCCCAGCACCACTGCAGTGGGGAAAGAAGTGGCAGAAGGCCAGCAGCAGTGGGGGGGGGAGACAGTGAGGGGGCTTGACCCTTGCCCCCTACTGTCTACCCTCACCAATAAAAGATATCAGCAAAAAGCCCTTGCTTCTCAGTAATAGTGAGGGAATTTTTAACTATTTCTCCAAGCTCTCCTTTCTTCATAAGTCTATTGCCCGGACAGAATGTGCCCAGGATTGTAGCTCTCATGAATGTTCTTTTTATCTCATCACTTATTTATAAGCCTATAACTAAATGAAATACAAGTTTATAGAAAGAGTTTAATTTGATTGCACAGTTTGCTTCATTTTGCACAAAAACAGAAATTGCATGTGATAAAATTGAGAGAACATAACAGATAAGGTTATATATTCTATGAATGGCCTGCCCAATGTTATAATATATGATGACCTCTAAATATATATGAAAAGAGGAAAAAACAGGTGAATTAAGTAATATGATGAAATCTCAACACTGATATTTTTATTTTTCTTCATTTAATTACTGTCATTAATAAAATTAAAAACTAGCACTCTTGCATTTTGATGTTTTTCAAAGGCATTTGGAACACCTCAAACAGCATGTCTGCCCAAAGCATTATTTTAATTTTGCCTCCCTGCATATAGATTACAAAAATCACATTCTTTGATCAGGTGTTTTTGGTACATCAGAAGGGAGCAAGTGCTGGAAACACCCAAAGCATCAGATATTGCTTGAAAAAAATGTGTTGTAACAATCACAATTGCAACTCCCCCCCTCCAAAATATATAATAATGTTATAGCTATTCTATTTAAGGGTTTTTTTGATGTGCTCATCACCATAGTGTCTGAGGCTACTTTGAATATTTTGCTTGATACATCAAAGAAAAGTAATTTACCTGAATATAATAGATGCCCTTTTTCTGGGCATACATCATAAGAAAGCAGTAGTCTAAGTTTTGCTTTGTTCGCCACCTGAAATGAAATGATAAAAAATGAAGGAATTATTAAATAAAATGAATATCTGTATACAATATGTAATTAATTGTTTTCCAAAAGGTTGCATATTATTTGAACATTAGGCAATTGTAGTTGGCTTGATTCCCACAGGAAATCCTCCATCTGAAGTGGGACAAAACTTCCCCTGTGTGTTGCAACACAGAAAGAGGACTGGCTTAATTTTAATCTGATCTCCTGAAGCTATCTGAGGTTTACTAAAATATATTGGATATTTCAGATGGTTACTAAACAATGCTACCCGTGTTTCAGATAATGTTTATTCTTGAAAGCATGTAATATAGCATGTACTAGTTGCTATATTGAAGTGTCTTCTTCCAAGGGTCTTCCTAAATTAAATCCAATAAAACTTAATATTCAAGCTCTGATCATGCTAAGCAAACCATGCAGGCAAGGCTCCACCTAAATGCATGGGTCACGTTGTTCAGTTCTCTTTGCATGATGGGGGGAGCCTTAATCTCTGTATAGTTTCAAGAATACAAGGAAGAAAAAAGTTTCAAGAACTTATACCCAAACACATAAAGAAGAAAGCTCTGAGAGAAACATTCTTACCTGACTCTCTCTTTTGAATCTCCAAATGTCTCTTTTAAGTTTGTCAAGTCAGGATAATAAGCTGCAGGAGGGGATATTACTTCCACCAAGCCAGAATTGATTTCTGTAGAAAATCTGCAATCAGAAAAGTCAACTGAGTCATTTAAAGTGCTGTGAAACTTTATTTATTTATTATTGGCTTAGCTACCAATGTCTGACATAATACATAGTTATAATCATTTGGAACAAATGCATAATGCTATTTTGACAATATGTTAGAATGAACTGGTTTTTCTACTTACTTTTAGAGTATGTATGCATAGTTTTTTATGTGAAAATAATATTCTTAATGTATGTTGACAGAATAATACAGTTCTACAGATTTTTTAAAATCAAAGAACGAAAGGAAATATGATACAAAAAACATTATTTCTTTAGTAAATTTCTAGAACAGGACATTCTCTTGCCCATAAAAATTATTTTAACTATGATGTAATTATATAACGTCAATTGTTCAAAGAGCTGAACTTTCCCTTCTACACTTCAGTTTGGATATATATACACAAATGTAACAGACAGTATGAATGCAGATGTCATGAAATCTGTTTATGTCAAGCCAACTCAATCCATTTATTTCATGCCAAATCCATTTAATCCCATTTACTGATTTACAGTTTAACCTGCTTAATTACTGCTGCTTAGTTTGTCTTCATGGGCTTATTATTTCAACCAAAACCATTAGAAAGGAAGCAGATAGCTAAAAATTTCCAATATATCACAGCTTTTCTTAGAAGAATAAAAAACAAGTACATCCCAACTTACTCTTTTTCCAGGCTTGCTACAACACCCTGGACATAATCAAGATCTGTCTGAAAAAAAGGGAAAAAGAAAAAGGAAAAAAAAATAAGAAGCAGTTTGGAAGCCAGCTGTTTCAATAGCTATCTTGAAGAGACTTGATTGATAACTCTTATCAAGGCATATAAATAATGCAGAAGGAATTGCAGACATGACTACAAAAAGCATATTTTTAGTGTGTGGTATAAGAATGGTTGGGCAAAATGACACATAAGAACCAGGCTAAAAGAATTAAAATAAGCAACCTTTAATTTTTTTAAACCTATCAAGGCACTTAGAAACTTGTAAAGCATTCCTACACAATGGAGAAACTTATTTTTTTATGTATATATTTTTTAAAAATAATACAATTTTGGCGTGGTATATCTCCACTCTATTAATGAAGTATAAATCATCTGGTATTTAGATTGCCAAATCTCTTCCACATTCTTTATATGAACTAAATATTGGGATTTAACTACTAAACTTATACATGCTTTCCTGAAATCAGGATGCTTTCCTGAATCAGGGCCTAAATCCTAAAAGAGGTAAGTTTCTCCTATTATGTTCTTAATGATATATTAAATAATTTCTATTTTTCAATGGATATAACATTCAATCTTTACCTTCTACAAAAGTAAACATCCACAGTGTTCTAAACCTAGCTTATTATATACCATGGTGGACAATTATTTCAGCTGGAGGGCTGCTTAGCAACTTCTGGTGAGCTGAGAGCCGCAAGGGCAGCCCTGCCTCTTGACAGGTGCCACATCCCCTGGTCACCATCCTGGGACTGGAAGTTCCACTCCTAACCCCTGACCCTTGCAAAAGTCCCTTCCCTTGCCCCCAGAAGTACTTTTGGGAGGGGGTTTGCTGTCTTGGAACTGGAAAAAAAAACAAATCATATACTAAAATTCAACATCTACTAGAACATATTTTAATTTTATTTCAAAAAATATTTTTGTCCCAATTTGTGTGTGTTTGCATAGTGAATATAAAGGTGATGGTGTAATAACTCAAAATAAAGTCTTACTCTTGAATATTGTGCATGGGTGGTGTGTGGGGGAGTGTGTGGGGAAGGGGCTGGTAAGGGGTTGTGGGCGTTTGTGGGTTGGTGGGGGGCTGGGTCTGTAGGGAAGTGTGGCAGTGTGGGTATGGTGGGGTATGCATGTGGGCTCCTTGCCACATGCCTCCCCCTTAGCATACAGCCCCTGCCATCGGTGGCAGTAGCAGCAGCAGCAGGCCCTCAGGAGGTTCATGGCCTGCAGCAAGCGGAGCCTCCCAGTGGTATGCCACTCCAGCTGAGTTCCAGGAGCTACACATGGCAGCAGGGAGCCAACCCAGCTCAATGGTTCGCGACTCCCCAGTGGAGTGCCACGAGCTGTGGGGAAGTTGTGTACTATTGGGTCAGGTCAGCTCCGTCTGTCCATGGGGCTCCCAGCACTCCAGCAGGGAGCCATACTGTGGAGGCATGGAGCCAGCCCAGCCCAATGGTGTGCAGCTCCTGTCTGCAGTGCCAGGAGCCCCATGTGCTGGCATGGAGGCAGTCAGGCCTACCCAGTGCCATGTGACTCCCAAATGCAGTGCCGAGAGCCCCACATGCTGGCACAGAGCCAGCTCAGCCTGATCATGCATGGTTCCCTGCAGCTCCTGGCTGGAGTGACAGGACTGTAGGGAGCCATGTGCTGGGAGCCCCATGGAAGTGAAGACACTGCTGGCCCCAGCTCAGCCTAGCAGCATGTGACCTCTGAAAACCCATGCATCCTGCTGACTTTCAGAGAGGCAGCCACGGGCTGGTAATAATTGTCTTTTGGAGGGGCCCCGCAGGCCAGATACAATGGCCTGGCCGGCTGGATCTTTGGGCTGTATTTTGCCTGCCCCTGTTATATAACCTATTTTTCTGTATATTCCTAGTCCTCCTGGAAAAGATTGGCCTTTAAATTTCAGGTAAATTAATTTTTATTACAACTGTTAATCTAATAATTTGGAGCACTGATTATCAACTTTCCAAGAAAATAATTTTTACCCTTTAACAAATTAAAGCAGATTTTAGTCATTCATCAGAATAATGTATACACTGATTCTTGTTGGTTGTATTTCAATAATGGAAACAAAGGGATAATTCATATTCTCCTTTTGATGTGTCCACAACTCAGATGTCCATTAATGTTCACTGAAAGGAGTAGCTTTAACGCTATTTGGTTAAATTTATTACCCTTTAATCTTCATCCACATTTCTATTCAGAAAATTTGTTTTAAAATAAAAGTACATTATCATGTCTAAGAACAGACAGTTTGAAATGCATGAGAACATATTTTCTCCTTAAATAGTTCTGGGAGAATACTTTAAAAATGTGAACAGGCTAAACAGGCTTGTAAGTCTAACTTACCAAGTTAACTCTTGTTTACTTGGTAAGGGCTGAAAATGCTCTTGGTTTTTTTCAGGACTAAAGTTTTAAAATACTGTTTAAGATCCTGGCATAAGTCCTTTAGGCCTTAATATGAATTCATTTTGTGTTAACAGCTTTTTATTTAAGAGCAGAACTGTTGTGCAAATTGTTTTTAATTTTTTAAAAGTATAGTGTAAGTGCATTACTGCCCAAGTCATTAGGTTAACTGATTCCAAAATTATAAAAAACAACAACGATAAAACTATTACAAGCTTTACTACTTATGAAAAGTTGAGGTTTTTGTGTCTAGAACACCCCAGGCCTGATGCCATCAAGTGACAAATTTCAGAAAAAGATGCCAGCAATCTTTGCAGACCCCGTTTCTGTATTCACATGATTTTCCTTACAAGACAGAAGACCCCTTAGAGCAGAGGTGAGATAATATAGCCCGCAGGCCAGATCTGGCCCTTGGAGGGACTTTGTCTGGCCTGTGGTGGGTCCCTCAGTTCCACCTGGCCCACATGCCATTTGGTCCATGGTGCATCCCACCCACCCCACCACGCAAGCAGGGCTGAAGCGGCTCCACAGCTGGATTGCATTTCTAAGCAACCCAGAGGTGGTGGTTTCTTCCAGCTGCTGCCACCACTGGCCCAGCCCCATGGTATTGGTGGGGACCTGCATGCACAGCCCTGACCCCGGCCAACCCTGTGCCCACTCCAGACTTGCGCCAGCCAGAGTGTGCCAGGTCCGGACCAGCTGGAACCTGCACACACAGCCCCAACCCTGCCCACCCCGTGCCTTCTCCAAACCACCTGTCCATGTTGGGCAGTGGCAGCAGCAGTGGCAGACAAGCAGAAGCTGCTGTTAGGCATGGGGGAAAGACAGCTGCCTCCCCCTCACTGGTGCTGGGTCCTTCTTGCTGCAGCTGCCTGGAGCCTCCCCTTGGGCTGCCCCGAGGTTCTTCTCCACTACCATCACCAGGCTACCCAGAAGGACAGCCGTGGTGCAGGCTCCAGATAGCTGCAGCAAGAAGGGCCCAGCAGTAGTGAGGGGGAGGCGGCCACTTTTCCCCCACACCTGGCAGCAGCTTCTGTCCAGCTGACACCACTGCTGCCACTGCTCAGCATAGGCAGAATGTCTAGAGTAGGCACAGGGTGGGATGGGGCCAAAGCTGTGCGTGCACATTCCAGCTGGTCCACAGCTGGTTTGCTCTAGCCGGGGTAAGTCCGGAGCAGATGTGCGATGGGCCATGGTCAGGCTGGAGTTATGCGCTCAGCTGCTGCTGGGTGCTGATGGCAGTGAGGAACCACAGGGCATGCGGGCTTCAGGCTGTTGCAGGGGCAAAAGGGAAGGTGCTGACTAGCCCACGACAGCTCTCCAGAACTGCCTATGTGGTCCACGGGCACAAATAATTGCCTACCCCTGCCTTAGAAAAATTAACCAGTCTGAAAATATCAGATTAACAAGGAAGCATGTTATAAAACTAAAATCCCGCACTGCAAATTGGGAGAAGTCAATCACTGTGATCCAGAGATTGCCTACATTTTTCCTTCCCAAGTGGTAAGAGTATGTTCTCTGTTTTTATAATTAGGCACATAGGCGGAGGGAGAAAAAAAACTGGGGGAGAGCTAAGTGCATGCATGTGCACCCCCCAGCAGGTAAGTCTGTGGGGAAAGGGATGAGGTGAAAGGAAATGGGCAGGGGGCAGGGAGTGGAGCTGGGGCTAGGGGTGGCAAAGGCCCTGCACAGCCGGAGTGGGGCAGGGGGTGGGACAGAGCCGCGGCTTGTCCAGGAGAGCATATGCTCCTGGATCTGCATGGGGCAGGGCAATGCTGGGAGCGGGGGTGGGGGAGCTCCAGCAAATTTTAGAGTAGCTGCAGCCCCTTCCCTCATAGTACCCCTCCCAGCATCACTGCTACCCACCCCAAGTGTAGCCCAGCCAAGGCCCTCACTCCAGGGAGAGCCTGAAGCAGCCCCAGCCCGCAGCGGCAGCTACACCCCCTGGCTGAGCCACTTGCAGCTCAATTCTGTGCCCCGCCCCACCCCAGCTGTGCAGTGCCTGCCTCTAGCCCCAGTCCCAGCCCCACTCCCTCATCATTGTGCGTGCACTTCTACTCACGTTCACAAAAGCATGTTACTCACTGAGTTTACACAGTGCATTTTCAGGATCACCTTTTTAACAAAAACTTGAAATAAATCAGTTTACTTTTGATGTTTTAAAAATTAAAAGTACTACGGGCATTTATACACATACCTTTTCATCCTGTGACATGCTGGAGATCCAGCATGTTGGAGCAGACTCGATTAATTGAGTCTGCTATGTACATGAGCTGATGCACACTATGCTGCATCGCATGCAGTTGTATAAGCAGTGAAATGCATGCTTATGTGCAGAAGATGGCAACAGTTCACTTTTGAACTAACACACCTTCACTGTGTTTAGTTCAAAAGTGCTCCACCACCATTTTCTCTGCGCTGACACGCATTTCACCACTTACACAACAACTGCATGAGCCACAGTGCCGCCAGCATGCATACAAATGTCCTAAATTTTGGAGAGCTGGACAGGCTTCTAGTATTATTTGAAATACCCTAATTTGACTTTAAAAAATGTTTTTATTTCTACATGATGACAGAAATTAAAG